ACTTTATATGGGACGTTGCCACAGCATGGCTTGACAAGCGGTGTGTTGGTCTGTGCCTGGGATCTGAACCTGCAAACCCTGGGCCGCCAAAGCAGAGCACATGAACGTAACCACTATGCCACTGGGCCAGCCCCGAGGCTGACATTTTTAATTTCGCTTTAAATTGAAAAGATTTGCATTTATAAAGTCTGAACAAACTGCTTGATAGAGAAATGAGAGTCTGAACTTGTTCAGCTCTGAAGAGAAGGGACACCAGCTCCACCCAGCCGAAAAGTGTTCTTAGGTGACTGAGAACCTCGTGGGAATGTCAGAGGATCAATCCTTGCGACAAGTAGCAGTCTTGTAGGGAACTCCACTATCGTTGACGTTAATTAATTAAAGGCTCGTCCAGGGAAGCACATGCAAGGGTTGGTTGCCCACGTGCTCCAAGCCCACGTGCTCCAAGCCCCCGTGCTAGTTTTAGACTGCTGGCGGGAGAAACCAAGGCACGGAAGAGAGTGTTTACGACTTTTCATTAGGAAGTAACACTCACAAGCAGCACATTTCCAACCCATCACACTGTCCCTGGAAATTGTTCAGACTTTATAGTAAAACTAAACTAAAAGAAGAGCGGCATCAGTTCCTGAGTGGGCAGCCTCCCCCTGGAACTCCAGCTGGCTTCATGCTGAAACTTGCAAGTGCTTAACAAAATCTGAAAATGGCTGGCAAGATAACCTGGGAAAATTTAAAATTACAGTGGCCACTATGGGGCCCCTTTTTAAGAGCCAGGTAATAGAGAAATTTTTAAAGAACTGAGCTCGCCACCTTCCGGCATAATTGCTCAAACTAAAGGTTCCGGAAGCTGCAAATATTTACAAAGAACAGCAAAAAAAAAAAAAATCTACCAAACTTGTTTCATGTCCTGGGGCTTGGCTTAATAATCATCAGGTTGGAGGTCCCAAAATACGGTCAGACAAAAATGCGGTTACACCCCTTCTGCAGTCAGAGATGGTCAGACAGAAATGTGGGTTGCACTCCGTTCACAGCTAAGGGTCCTAGCCAACTGCTGCCAGCCTCAGGGGAATTACACTGGCCGACAGAAGGGACACTCCGATTAGATAAGATCATTTAAGAAGTGCATTTAAAAGCAAAGACTTCAAAATCCCAAAATAAACTTATTGAAAGTCTTTTGTTGCAAAAAGCTAATAAAAATTAACTTATAAAAGGTATCTAAAGGAAAATATATTAGGCCATGGCTTTACAGACACCCCCGTAATCTACTCCCAGAGTTAATGAGACTCTGAGAAATTTCTGGGAGACAGCTAGGCTAAAGATTACTGGAACTGTTCAGTACTGCCAGGTAGTTACTGTTGGTCCCGGCTGAAACCTGACAGGGTATTTAAAAGAATTTAGCAACTTACAATGAGAAATTCGGCCAAACTGGGAGCTGATATTCAGAGCCTGATAGGAATTTTCTTTCCAGGCCTTCTTCCCTAAGTTAAAATAAAACTAAGCACCCGGAGGGAAAGAAGCAAATTAGGGATGATGTAGTTGGACAGGCAGATCAACCTATAATGTGATTTAAGTTACAACAAAAATTTCTGAACAATCAAGACCAACTATCCTTAAAAAAAAAATCCTTGTCAGACTGGAAAAGCAGCTCCAGAGGCAGCTCAGATTCCACCCAGTTCCTTTATCTCAGAAGGGATTATCACCTCACCTCTCAGGGAACGGTTATCTAGCCCGTTACTAATTCCTAGGACTGAAAGGAAAAAAAGGGAAAAGGGCAAGGAAAACAGCCATAAGAACACCCTTGCCCAAATTCTAGCATCTTGAGTGTCTTCTCCACAAATATTAGAAAAAAAAAAGAAAGAAAAAAAGGTTTCTCCACCTGAGTGTGTTTCAGTTCCTATTTCTGATACCCGATTTCAACTGACCAATGCAAATATCTCCAAACCAGGATGAGAAGACAGCATCTGTTGTAGACAGCTCTCCCAAGACTCCAGACCTGGCCTGTATTCCCAACCTTATATGTCCTTATTTAAACCTGTGTAATGCTTAAACTATATACCTGTTTTATAATTGTTCCATTTAAGGTTTTCAGAATACTGTCATACTTGAAGAAAGTGACTGATTTGGAACAGGCTGTTCTTGAAGGCCAGGCATTTATCGGCTGGCTTCTAATGGAACTCAGTGGTTATGTGGAACAAACCTCTGGCCTTGGCTACTGCCTGGATGGCTAAAACACTGCACCCTGAGCTTCCCTCGGATGTAGGGAAGGAGTCACCCTGAGCTAACACCTGTTGTCAATCTCCCTCTCCTTAAGGCCAGATGGGCTCATTCAGTGTTCCACTTGTATGGCCACTTGGCGGCTATATTTGTTCCTTCCTTGGGGCTAGAAGATGCTATTATCACATACAGAACCCCTGACTAAATTTACTCAGCAAGCCCTCAATGATAGTCAAGAAGGAACAGCCTTATTAAATACCAGAATATCTTTAATGAAAAAGGCTGTCCTTCAAAATAGAATGGCCTTAGATATTTGAACTGCTTCCCAAGGTGGTATGTCTACAATCATTCAAAGTGAACGCTGTGTTTTTATAGGTGACGAATCTTCCAATGTGTCATCTCTGCTAAAGCACATAAAAAAGCAGGTGAATGTCTTAAGAGATCCTACACTCAGTCTTGATTTGTTTCATTGGCTCCCTTCAGGTACCAGTTCCCTTTTTCGATCCAGATTGCAATTCCTATTTCTATTACTTCTTGGAATTCTTGTATTAGTCATAATATTCAAACGAATTACTTTTTCTTTACTCAGTGTTGTAAGACTGGCATGCAAGATAGAGTAACGATTGCTCAGCGACTGGAGATGGTTGATTGATCTTACAACTCTGGACAAATTTCCTTTTCTGATAAAGACTATGTCTAAGAACTCATTTTTAAAATTGATCTTTTCAAATATTGAATTGTCATCGTTACTGTACCCGTTCTATAACCGTAAACAATGTGAGCATAAGGAGTCATGTAAAAGCAAATGTACAATGTTTGTGCAACAACCTAAAATTAGTTGAAAAATCTATGAAATGCTTCCTCTGTTAATATATATACCTCTATGCTTGTCCACTATATCTGACTATTTCCCTCCAATGTGGACAATTGGGCAAATAAATGAGATAAAAGCCTGGCACCAAGGGACATAATGGACCCGGGGCAGGCAACAACCACTCTGGCGCTGAGGGACAATATTTTGATCATCAATGCTTTCTTTTTTTTTTTTATAATTTTATTTATTTATTTATTTCCCCAAAGCCCCAGTAGATAGTTGTATGTCATAGCTGCACGTCCTTCCAGTTGCTGTATGTGGGACGCAGCCTCAGCATGGCCGGAGAAGCAGTGCGTGGGTGTGCGCCCGGGATCCGAACCCGGGCCGCCAGTAGCGGAGCGCACACACCTAACCACTAAGCCACGGGGCTGGCCCTCATCTTTCTATCGAAAGATTATAGATCAAAAGGGGGAAAACGATAAATAAATGACAAGCAACAGGACATACTGGAGTATACAAGGAAGCCATTTGGTTTAAAACTAATTTGGCCTGACCTTGTTTTTCCAAAAGGGCCTGATGTGGCCTGTTGAGCATGCATTGTACGTCTACTTTAAATATTTATTATGTCCCCAAGACAAGAAGGATGCCCCTAAAGATAGGGATGCAACCTCCCCCATACTGGCATTTCCTTTAGGAATCCTAAACTAAAAATCCCTAAACTAAGGATTAATTACTAACCTGCTGTGCTCACCTTGTGACCACTGACCTGCTGTGTTCACTGATCGGCTGTGCCAGCAAAGCAATCGCGTGACTGTTGTAAAAGGGACATTCCTATCATATGTGATGTATGCATTTTTGTTCCAAGACGGTATATAACCACTCTGTATACCCCACTTCTTTGGTGTCCTTCCTTCCTTGGGGAAGGAAGGCCCCATGTTAGTCCTCAGATCTGGCTCATAATAAACTCACCCCAATTTTGATTCATAGATTGATTATGGATTATTTGCATTGACAAAGATATATAATATTTTTTAAATGGGAGAATGGTCTGCATATTCACCTGGATGCAAAACAGAATCATAAGCACAAAGAGGTTTAGTGAGCACCCTGGAGTGACAGAGATGGACAGCTATACATTGATAATTTGTGCACCTCCTTCCAAAGTGTACAGTAGTCACTGGGAGATAGCTGCCCAGCCAGGAACTACAGTTCCACCAATGGATGTGAAGAGAAATGATGTATGTAACTTCCAGGCCAGGGTTTTTTTTTTTTTGGTGAGGAAGATTGGCCCTGAGCTAACATCTGTTGCCAATCTTCCTCTTTTTGCTGAGGAAGATTAGCTCTGAGCTAACATCCATGACCATCTTCCTCTATTTTTTTTTTGTATGTGGGACGTCACCACAGCATGGCTTGACGAGTGGTGCATTGGTCCATGCCCAGGATTCGAACCTGCGAACCCCAGGCCAAATTAGTTTTAAACCAAGCAGAGCATGCAAACTTAACCACTACGCCACTGGGCCGGCCCCCAGGCCAGGGTTTTTAAGAAGCAGGTATGCCTTCTCCACTCTCTTTCTCAGTCAGCCTCTGGATGCAGAGGACTCAAGGCCCTAGGGGATGACAGTAGCAATAAGACAGAAGATGCCTAGGCCCATGAATCAACAAGATGTCTGCTGTTCAGCAACACCTACATTGTACTATCACATGGGTGATAAATGTCTAGTATACCAAGCCACTGAAATTTTGGTGTTTAGCTGTTATAGCAGCTAGCACTGGTCCACTAATACACTGAGGATCACTAGTTAGTGACAGAGCTGAGACTGGAATCAATGTTTTCTGACTCTTATTACAGTGTATCAAACTGTCTTCAGATATATATTTATATTTCTAAATTATCTCTTTGGTATTTAAGCAATTTGTTCCCACTGGTTGTTCTCAGATAAATGCTACTAATCCCCAACAAAGCCTTATCTGCACTTACCATTTACAATCATTTTCAAACAAGCAGAACATGGTTTTCTGGAAAAATACAGATCACAGTTTTTCAGCCTTGACCCATGTTTTATAAGAGCAATTTTCCCAGCATGTAAATCTTCACTAGAACAGTGGAGACCAACAATTTTCATGTTTTTCACCACCACAAGACCAGTTTTCTTCACCTATATTAAGATACAAAATAATAATTTATTAGTTATAACATCTAATGATCATATCATGAATTATATTTGATGTATTAATAAAATAAAAGTTTTGTTTAATTCTTTATCTGAACACAGTTTGAACAAAAGCACATTTCTCAGGTCCAAAAAAATTTCTGTAAGTTTAATGTTGACTTTATACCAGAAATCTTCTAAATCCAGACTTTCTTAACCAAACAATTAAGCATTTAATTATCATTAATTTGTCCTAGTGAAAAATGAATACATTTTAACTTAGTTAACCTAGTAAAGGGCAAGAACCAAGATGACTTGACTTGTTTCTTATAGCATCTATTTTGTATTAAGCTTCTAGATGGTAATAAGAAAAAATATGGAAAACTGTGATTTTACACAAGGATAAGTAAAGCCCAGAGGGTTTACATGACATTCTGAAAGACCCACAGATGGTAAAAGCAGAACTAAAGCAGAGGTCATCTTAAATTTTAAAATATTTTAAATATTGACTAAAATAAAGATAATTCTCAACCTCTTGCTAACAACTGGCTCTACCAATTTTTAGCACGACAATCTAGACTAATGTGGTTAGGTCCCATCTCCTACAAATATACAGATTATTTATAATAAAAAAATGTTTTAAAATGCATATTCAAGCTCAAAAGAAAGGAAGACATACCCTCAGGAGTTAGAAACGAAAAGAGAACTCAAAGCAGGAGCAGTAAGCTGGAGCCACCTCAGCAGTATCCCACCCACAGGAGGGGACTGGCCGACTGCTTTAAGCCCTGGAGGCTGGGCACTGGCTGGAGTTGCTACTTCAAACCTAAAGCGCCCTAACTTTTACAGATACTAATCAAAAAAGTTAGTGTAGCAATATCAGATAAAACAGACTGAGGTAAAAGTCAGTTCTACACAAGGCACAAAATAGTCTACGCTGTTTTCACAGCCAAAGACTCTGAAGTAAGGAATGTAAACCTGATCCTTGGGCTCCTAAGGGATTGTTAGAATACGAGGGGCACTCCGGCTGAGAACAGGGTATCCATTATCCCCTATGCCCTTTCAAAGGGATTTTACTCTACAGTTATCCCCAAAAGAACATATTTGAAATCACTGTAAAGATCAGACCAAAGCTATATTCACTAAAATAGTCAAGATTCAGTTTCAGTTATGAGTATAAATGTTTGAAACTATGGATAATGATATTTTGTGAAATGCTTAAAAAGAAGGAATAGAGGAGATTTTATAGAATTCCCTTTCTGAGTTAACCAAGCATCTCCTAAACATTAAGAACATTTAAAAGGAATACAAAACTCTTTCCTTTACAAAATATATACCCAAAAATATATCTAAAATATGAAAGATCTACCTATATTGGCTTTTAAAAAAAGCTTTAAATTTACCTTGAATTTGTGAACCTTTGCCCCTCCCCACCCCCAAATTTCTTAGAGTTTTAGGTTCCTCAAATACAAAGTATATGTTAGTATCTACTTCTGAATACTTCCAGCAAGTTTTTTAAAAAGAAATTATCACTTTAGAAAAGAACTGATGAGGCCTTGTCAAAAGATCTTAGCACACTAAAGCTCACTTTATTAAACTGAATAAACTGTGACCAATGAAAATGGCTGCAATTCAATGATATCAGCTTTAGATTTTCTAAATAGTTAAGCAGACAGAAATAAAGCCAGAAAATTTGACCACAAAAGACTTTTTAAAAAATTGTTCCTAATAAATGAGAAGCATACTCATCAATTTATTTTTTATTAGAACAATCTTTTAGGCCAAGTTTATCACTTTTTGTCTAGAGTCCTTTTCACCTCAGAAAACATCTTTTTTTTTCACTTTGTTTTTAGCGAAGGCCAAAATATGAAGTTTGAGACAAGGATTTTTCCATCCCAAACTTAAAACAAAACAAAGCCAATAAAAGCCTAAGTTGCATTCCATTTCAGCACTTCCCCTTACTACAACTCCCAGAGACGGAATCTTTTCAGTGAATCACTGCTCTGGAGCCTGATTTTGCTTCCCTTCACTAACATCCTGGCAAGTAGCCTATGTAATCCTAGTCACAGATAGGCAAAAGAGAACAGTCTGTTTTGTATATGAACTAGTATATTTACTTAAACGGTGATTGACTACTTTTTTCCCTTTGCCTTTCTTATAATTAAAAACATCTAAATATTCTGAGACAAATTATTTTTATATTCTTGTTGGGCATTTTAGAAACTCACTCTCAGAACTAACCAGGAAATGTACAGGAATTATATCAGAATCATCAAGATAACTTTTATCAAAAGATACATGTTTTGTCTTCCACACCCAATGAATCAGAATCTCTGGAAAATTCAAAACATTAAAATAATAAGAAAATACTATGCAAAATTAAAAAGAACATGGTTCATCTTGTCAAGTCTGGGCTTTGATTTTAACCTACTTACAAGCTAGTTAAGTTAGCCTTTTCATAGACACTGGCAGAAGACATGAAACTCCTAGGTCAGAAACAAAGGACTTGATCATTCACAGCACAGCAGGCAGTATGAGCATCACGTTTGCGATGGTTCCTTTGCCTACAAATCCCCTGGGGTTCATGCAGATGGGCCCACATGGATTTCTGGACGTGAAGTGGGTTGTGTTACGGGAGAGAAACACTGAGCTTGGTGATTCTGTTGCTTTATCGCAAACAGTAAGCAAACCTGCTTTGTCTCAGAGGGAGACGTTACCTCAACCCTCAAGGTTGCTTGCTGCAAACACAAACTCTGAGAAATGGCCTAGGTAAAGAACAGTTAGGCCCTCGCATTCTTTAAACCAGCAAGGTGTGTTGGAGTTCAAGAGAACCACAGAAGTGTGTTTCTCAACACATCTATACGAACTAATGTGGGAAGGTGTCAAGAGTTAAATTTGAAAATTTTAAAAAAGCAAGATGTAGGAGCATATTATAGAATAATCTCGTCTGTTCTTTTTTTTTTTTTTAGAGAGACATGAATAGTCTCGTAAATGCACAGATAATTTTTAGAAGAGTATATAAGAAACTCCCTTGTAAGTGGGAAGAGGGGACCTGTGGATAACAGGGACTTTTATTCTACTTTATACCATTCCTTCTGCTTTGTTATTATGAGCATATATGTCTTTTTAAAAAATTGTAAAAATTCACCAGTTTTTTGTCAGTAGATACTCTGGCCATCTCTTCATTATCTCCTACAGGTCCATGCTTTCCCTCTTCCTTTTCCTAATGAAAAGCAGATTAACGGAAACAAAAGATTAGTACATAGGACATATGATTAATTCAATATTTCCTATTTAAAGGCTGGTTTCCTTGGCTTTGGATCATTCTTTTTTTTTTTTTTTTTTTTTTGCTGAGGAATATTCACCCTGAGCTAACATCTGTCACCAATCTTCCTCTTTTTTTTTTTTTTGTGAGGAAGATCAGCCCTGAGCTAACATCCATGCCAATCCTCCTCTTTTTGCTGAGGAAGATTGGCCCTGGGCTAACATCTGTGCCCATCTTCCTCTACTTTATATGGGACGCTGCCACAGCATGGGTTGACAAGTGGTGCGTCTGTGCGCGCCCGCGATCCAAACCCGGGCTGCCAGCAGCGGAGTGCGTGCAGTTAACCGCTACACCATGGGGCCAGCCTCTTCTTTTTTTTTTTTTTTTTTTTTAATGTGAGCTGCCGCCACAGCATGGCCACTAACAGACAAGTGGTGTGGTTCTGCACCCAGGAATCGAGCCTGGGCCGCCAAAGCGGAGCGTGCTGAACTTTTAAGCACTAGGCCAGAGGGGCTGGCCCTCTGCATTGACTTCCCGCTTCATTCAGGTTCAAGTTCAGACTACTTAACCTAGCAAATAAGACCTTTAGGATCGGGCCCTTGCATACTTCTCCAAAATACAGAAGGACTGGAAATTGTGGCCAGAAAATAAAATTCTGTAGTTTAAGATTCCAGGGCCAGCCCTGTGGCTTGGCGGTTAAGTGCATGCACTCCGCTGCTGGCGGCCCGGGGTTTGGATCCCGGGCGCGCACCGACGTATCGCTTCTCCGGCCATGCTGAAGCCACGTCCCACATACAGCAACTGGAAGGATGTGCAACTATGACATACAACTATCTACTGGGGCTTTGGGGGAAAAAAATAAATAAATAAAAAAAAAAAAAGAAAAAAAAAAGATCCCAGAGTTAGGGCAGTTTTGAGCAATGGAAAAGTCCAGAGTGTGGCCATGGCTAAGAAGGACTAAAGGGGAAAAGAGGTAAACTAACTGGCATTGGGAAGATAAGGAACTACGTAGCAAAAGTATGAAATAAGGATTGTGGCAAGCAGAATAACGGTCCCCCAAAGACCTCCCTGTCCTAATCCCTGGAGCCTACAACTATGTTATATTATGCTACATGGCAAGGTTGCAGACGGAATTCAGCCTGCTAATCATCAACCTTGAGACAGAGAGATCGTCCTGGATTATCTGGGTGGGCCGATGTAATCACAAGTGTTCTCGTGTGATAGAGGGAGGCAGGAGAGTCAGTGCCACTGTGATGCAACATGAGAAAGACCTGGTCCACCACTGCTGGCTTTGAAGATGGAGGAAGGGGTTTACGAGCCAAGGAATTGCCCACACTTCCAGCCTCTAGAAACTGGAAAAGACAAGGGAACAGATTCTCCTCTAGAGCCTCCAGAAGGAACAAAGACCTGCTGACACTTTGATTTTAGCCCTGTGAGACCCATTTCAGACTTCTAACCTCAAGAACTATAAGATAACAAATTTGTGTTGTTTTAGGCCACCAGCTTTGTGGTAATTTGTTACAGCAGCAATAGGACGTCAGTACACAGATGTCCATAAGTCTCCTTTAAAAGTAAAACTTGAAGTAGAAAGTTTTGAGCCAGGGGTGCAACTCCTTCATTCATTTATTTATTTTCATAAGAGATTTATTCTTCATTTATTAATTCAACAAACATTTATTGAGCCCTTGCTATGTGCCAGCCATAAACCTAGTTGCTCAGGATGCAGCCCTTACAGAGATAATGATTTATGAACACAAGAAAGTGACTATGAAGTGAGTAGATAATTAAGACAGGGTGATATACCAGACTTCTGTGAGCCCCAAAGTAGGTGGGATGTGTAATAAATAGGAGAAATTGTGAAAGTGGGAACGGCAAACTTGGTGAATATTTGACCTCTCAGTCTTATGAAACAAATGCTGGATGCTAGAAAAGGAGTAACTTCTAAGAAGTTTACAAGAAAAGCCAGGCCCTGGGAACGAGGTTTCTGTTCAAGCAGAACAGGAAATAGAGGAAGTGGTGATGTTGGTAGTAAAATGATGGGGGTGTGGATGATAGTAGTGGTGATGGTGATAATAACAACAGTACCTAACATCACTGACTGTTTACTATGTACCAGGTCCTAAAACTACCTCAGTTAATCCACGCAATTTTACAAAGTAGCTACTGTTACTCCCATTTTACAAATGAAGAAGTCATAGCTGAAAGAGATTAAATAACTCGACCATGGTCACACACCTAATAAATGGGTAAGCAAGGATCTGAGCCCCAAATCCACTATCTTCACCATTATGCTACATTGCTTCTGTTCTGGAAAAGTAGCGAGGTCTTTTAGCATGAAAATAAGGTACCCGAGGACACAATGGGAAGATTTGGGAGAGAGGGACAATATGTGATGTGTAGAGAAATATGAGGGAACAATGCAGTTATTCTAACTCTTATACTAAAGTAACATTCAGGCAATTTAGATAAGTCTTACTTAACTAAAATTAAAAACTATGAACAAGTAGGAGAGAGAACTACTTTTAAATGACAGCCATTTTCAATAGTACTTGATTTCTATTCTAAAACTTTTAATTAATTGTTTTTTTCCCAGAAGTCTCATGAACAATTGCTTTTTCTCCCACTCATTTATCTAGTTTTAGACTGGATTCTTACAAATTCTTACTCTTTATACTCAATGTATATCTTGCTGAACAAACCTCAAGGAGCACCCATACATTGTAAATATTTGACAACATAGAAAACTCAGATATCAGTTATACTTAGAAGTGGTTTTAAGTTAATAATACACTAAGGCTGGTAAAAATTACAGACAATTTAAAAATTCGGACAATATTGGAATTTAAAATGTAAATTTCAATAATAGGGGTATAGACACGGTACACTGATACAATGGACTGTTATGCAGTCATTAAAATGATAATCACAAACACATATAGTACATAGTATGTGCCAGGTACTATCTAAGAGCTTTACAAATATTACTCATTCATTTGTCATAAAAGCCCCATGTCATATGTACTAGTAATATTCCATTTTACAGATGAGGAAGTTGACAGGCAAAGTAACTTCCCCAAGGTTTCATAACTAGTAAGAGGTGGAGCCAGGATTTGAACCTAGGCAAGGCGAACTACAAAAACCACTGGCTACTTTTAAACCATTAGACTAAGTTGGTGCCCCAATGTTTATAATAGTATTACAGTACAAGTATTTTCCTATGTTAAGTGAAAAAGGTGAGATCCAGAATTAAATGATCTCAAATGAGTAAAGGAAATACAGAAAAAAGATTGAAAAACAGCACAGAAATGTCAGCAGCCTCCAGGTGGTGGAATTATGAGGAATTTTTTTTCTTTCTGTTCATTTTATAAATAATAAACATATATTACTTTGGTAACACGTACAAATATTTTATTTTTAAAAAGTCGAGGGCCGGCCCTGTGGCTTGGTGGTTAAGTGCGCGCGCTGCGATGCTGGTGGCCCGGGTTCGGATCCCGGGTGCGCATCGAGGCACCACTTCT